TAGTTATTAATTTACCTTGTATCTTAGATTAGTTAACAATTTAAGCAGGACTACACTGCAGCATTTCAAATAATAATTATTATTTAAAAAATTTAATAATAATATAATATTTAATATAACTAAGTTGAATACTTTATAATAAATTTAATAATAACAACAAATAGTATAAATAAAAGAAAAAATAATAATAGTAAAAAAATTAAAACTATTAATAATATTCTTTTTTTATTTTATAAAGAATTTAAAAATATAACAAAACTTGAAATTACAAAAAATAGAAAGAACAAAGAAAACAAGAATAAAATTATTATAGTAATTAATAATAATTTAATAATTATAATAAAAATTAATAATATAAATATTTTAACTTTAAATTTGTTAATAGATATATTCAAGCTTTTCAAAAAAAATCAAAATAAAAAATTAGTTTTAGTTTCTTTAAAAAAGCAAAAATCACTAAAATTATTTAATATATTTCTTTGAATAAAAAAAGCTTTAGTAATTATTACAAATATTCATTTAATAAACTTATAAAGTACTTTAATTCTGAAAAAATGCTTATTTTGAATTTGATAAATTAAAATATAATATAATATTATATAATTAAATTTCTTTATAGTTATATCTATTTATAATTATATATCTTTATAATTTTCTTATTTTGCTCTTTTATTATATAAATATAGTAAAAAAATTCTTTTATAGTTATACTTTCTTTATAATTATTCAATTTTGCTTTTCTAAAAGTGATAACTGTAAAAAAAATTGATTATAGTTGCTAATTTGCATGTATTAATATCGATTTTTTGCAAAGCTCATTTATATTAATTATTAAGTTCTTTAGTATTGTTGCTTGAATGCAAATATAATAATTTAATTAATTGGAATACTTGTTTTGATTAATTAAATTATTAGATTTGTATTCAAGCAATAATATTGAATTCTTCCTATTTGTTTTCATAATTCACAGAAAAATTGATTTGTGCTAAACACTTTGGCTTGAATAACAGCTCCAATTGTCACTACTTTACCTGAATGAACAAATTTTTTTTATCTATTTGCACATAATTTATATATAGATCAACATAATACTCTAGAAGGATAAATATAAAATGTAATATGACAATGTGATTTATATGCTAATGTATATTTATAAACTTTACTCAAGTTATGTCTTCACTCAAATTATATTTATAACCCAAGTGTGACTACAATACATGACATTCTGGGTGATCGTGACACAGAGCTGTTCATGATTACACGATCTACAAGTCTTCGTCTATTATTTTATAAAGAGAAATTGTAGTTACTATTAGCCATAAATCGGTTCCTATAGAGAGGTTGTTCTTATAAAGTGGTATTTTATTATAAATATTGATGGTTCTCAAAATTGTGTTCCTATAGAGATGTTCTTATATAGAGGGATGACTGTATTTAAGCCTGTATTGACATGAAAGGAGAATAAAAACCCTTTGGTCTGTGTCAAATCGATATTCGAAATTTGACTTTATCCCGGTATGATTATAGTCTTTAAAGCAAACAAAATTTAGTTTGATCGATATTTCTTTCAAATCTTTTAAGTAGGGTGTTTCTTTTATTATACAGTCAAACCTCAATTTAACGTCTATGCGATGTAACGATCACTAATTAATATCTTACTTCAACGACATCACCCTTAAATCCCTTTCCGTAAGAATGCGTATAAAAATCAAAATTTAATGAATTTCTTGAAATAGCGAAATTGTTCAATTTTTTACAATATATCCCCGACCCGTGGATGGTTTAATTAGTCGGATTAAAAAACAAGATAACGACTTGAAAAATACCAGCAGGACTGAAAAGAAAAATTTAGAAAACACGCTAAAGAAAACCAATTACAAGAAAAATAACTGCCGAAACTGTTTATCTTCATCTTTATTATAGCAGTTACGTACGTATCGTTATCGTTATCGATATCAATATCAATAATCATGTTCACTAAAAGGATCGACACACAAACAATCTGATCCCGTGAGTCATTTTTTTTGTTTATCATTATTATTTCCAACATTCCAAACATTCCACTTGTGGATTATTCCAGTGTCGTTTGTCCTCTAGTACATGTAGCTTGTTGTGTGGGTCGTCGGTTCTCACACTATTTTTGGTTGGAGTTCTCTTGGGTATTTATTACGTGGTTCCCGTTCTCCTCTTTTACCATTTTCTTCATTTTGTTTCATATAATTTTAACTTTTTTGTTTTTGTTTTTCGCCTCACTCGCGCTATCCTCGTCGAATCGTGAGGGACAACCGTATACGTAATATCCAATCTCTCCAGAAGTGATTCTCACAGCAATACCTAGGTTAATAATTTTGCTTTTTTTCGTGGATACAATTTCCGCACGGCGTTGTTTTCTCTAAGTTTATCACCAATTTATCCTTTAAATTCTAATGGGAAGCAGTGATTATTCCTTTTAACTGATATTTGGTGCTTCTAATTACATTGGTTTTTTCTCCTTGTCTTTATCTTTATATTGACACTGTTGGTAGGTTCTTTCTTTTTCGTATGGTTTGAAGGCTTGTTTGGTTGTCGGTTGGGCGAGATTACCGACATGGATGCTCACATAATCTCCGCCGTCCATTACCTGACGTAAATGGGAGTATTACCTTCATTTTTCGCAAATACTTGTTATCTTTGTGTATTTTTTGTTCAACGTATGCACTACTAATATCGTTCTTCATTTCGTCTACTTCCTTTTTCCCGTCCTTTTCTGTTCCGGACTAACGTAGACACTTGCTTCTCCTACCATTTGCACCACTCTCCCAAGAAATGCTTGATGCTGTTCATAGAGGCTTCGTTGGTACTGATTTCTGGGTATCGGTCAGTATCTGTTACTATTTCCGATTCTAAAGCGTAGTCCATCACATGATATATATTAAAAAATATTAAAAGGTGATTTTAACGTTAGGGTTAGGGTTGGGAAGGAGCTCAAGGCTATAAATAAAATTGCCTTCCCGACATTTTTAATTAGTGCTCCAAGATAGATTTAAGCACCCTTTTTCCGTATTTTTTCATTTGCTTCAAATTTGTTTTGCCGAGTTGATTAAAGATTTACGCATCCTCATTGATTTGTTATTCGGACAAATTATCGGATGGACTACGTTTTAACAGATCCCCGATTCTAGTAATTCATCATATGTGAATCTAATTTCTATCACTCCTTTATTTCTATCCTTCTCCTTCTCCTTTATTTTTATCCTTCTCCTTTATTTTTATTCTTCTCCTTTATTTTTATCCTTCTCCTTTATTTCTTCTATCCTTCTCCTTTATCATTTCTATCCTTCGCCTTTATTGTTCTTATCCCTCTCCTATTCGCTGTTATTTGCATTCGACTATTAATTCAAGCCATTAATGATGAATATATGACCCACTCTGAAATGGTTATTGAACGTACAAGGTAAGATGCGTTCTCGCCTGAAGTGGGAAATGTTATGATTTGACCTTTGGGTACAGTCATAACATGTGCAGCTAGGGAATACGATCCGAGGCCAAGCTAGCTATACGCCTGCTGCGGGAGACCTGTTGGTTCCGCTCGTGCAAGCGGGCTAGTCACTGAGTGAAGTTTCTCCTGAAGTGGGAGTGTGTTATGATTTAACCTTTGGGTGGAGTCGTAACATGCGCTGCTATGCAATCCGATTACTCGAACCATTTATGATGAACATATAACCCACCCTGAAATGGTTATTCAACGATTTCTTCTCGTTTATTATTTCTACCCCTCTCCTTTTTATCTCTATTTCCAATCCCTCTCCTTTATTTTTATCTATATTTCCAATCTTTTTATGTGCGGCTAGATTGTGCAGCTAGGGAATACGATCCGAGGCTAAGCTAGCTATACGCCTGCTGCGGGAGACCTGTTGGTTCCGCTCGTGCAAGCGGGCTAGTCACTGAGTGAAGTTTCT